GATTCAGGCTATCAAAGAAGTGGAGCTGCGTGGCTCGGGCCTCCCTCAGAACATCCACCTTTCTCCACAGGGGCGGCACCTCTAAAGAACTCAGCTAAGGATACAGCAGAGTAATATTAGTCGCTCCAGGAAACAGAGTAAGAAACACAGACTAGTTCCTGAAGAGCAGCTTAGGGCTGGATCCAAGCTGATCCTGCACCTGCTGTCAGAATACAGAGTGCATTGTTGTTTGCTGTGTTGGTACACAGCCATGCTTGTGTAGTGTGTTAAGAATAACAAGGAACCTGGCGGCCAATTAAGGTACAGAATTGAACTCAATATTTAAAATAAGAAGCTACAAAATGCAGCGTGAGTCATAAAAATATCACGTTACAGACGTGACGAGGATTTCTGATATTTAGATCTTTCACTGCATTGTTCTGCAGCCTCTAATCTCTTTGCAGTGGCAGTGCACGAGCGTACAGGTGTTGCTAATTGAGCAGGTGTGGATCAAGGCCTGCCTGAGGCGGCTTTCATAAAGGCTCACTAGTGTTTGTCTTAGTGGAACCAGCTATTTTAGCCAACTTGTTATGTGATTTAAAACAAAAGCTCTTCTCTGTGAAACTCTGGTATCTCCGTGTTTATGTCGCAGCTCTTGAGCCGGGTCATACATGCATTCACTGAATGTGCAGGAATGTGAGCTCTACCTTCTCAGTCAGCTGCCCAAAGGCCGTCTCCAGCTGAGTGAACATGCCATCAAAGGCAACCAACAGCATTTGACCTGCAGACATCTTGGGCGTGTCCTGGCCCTGTCCATCCATGCTGTGAGGCTGGATCAGTTCAGAGTACTGCACACGCAGCATTCTGACCAACAGACACACAGAACAAATGTTAAGCATGCAGGTCAGCAGTTAAACAGCACCGTGTCCGCTAAAAACGCACGACAGGAACTGCACCTGGTGATGTGGAGGCAGTGGTTGCGGCCGTTGTGGTCCAGGCCTGTGCCGGTTTGCAAACTATCGGCCAAACCTTGCAGGCCGAGACCGTCAGAGCTCTGATCTACCAGCTGCTCCAGCTCTGCCAACATGGACTCCAGAGTCGGCTCTCCTTTGATCATACATCGCAGAGCCTCTGGAAAGATGATCTGACGGAAATTGGTGTTCAGCTCCTGCAACAGAAAGACGACAGGCCAGAGCAATGTCAGCACAAAGCCTTCACGCGGCCTCAGCCTGCTCCTGCGGCTCCACCCACCTGTAAGCACGTATACACAGCACTGGCCAGGTAAACAACCTGGGTGGTAGCTGCAGGTGGAGGGAGCTCCAGGTCATGAGTTAGAAGTGGGCAGCGTTGCAGCAGCGTTACAAGCCCGTTGATGTTTCCAATCATGCTGCACAGCTCCTCCAGAAACCACGCCCCATCCCGGGACGTCAGGTCCACGAGTTGCTCCCCGGCGCTGGTCGCTGCACCCTCCATCACCAGGTTGCGTCTACGGTCGATCAAACACAAACAAAAGTGGGTTCACTGTGTCCACTGCAGCTGTGACCCACCCACTCAAACCCACCCACACCGAGGTCGGACTGATCTCATTTCCAACGCTGCTGAGGATCGTTTTTATCACGTCCCATTAAAGCCTCATAAGGTGGTGCACTCTCTTTTTCACATGACTGCGTGCTGCTATAGCTGCTTCTCGCCATGTGACCTTCTGCCCTCTCTAATGTGTGAGATCAGGAACAGCAGCACGCCTGCTAGCCTGGGTTTTAGTGCTTCCATGGTTACTATCACAGGTGAGTTGGTCACGTCTCACTAAAGAAAACAGAGTCCTACATGATCTGACCAGGACTGAGTCGTGCTGACAGCAAAGAAAAATCGC